GTGTCCAGACAAAAAGCAGGTGTTTGTTAATGTACTAAGCCTTAGCAGAAATAGGGTTGCTGATTTTAAGTTCACGTTTATTTATTTTGGAATAATACTGTATCTTGTCTGAATACTTATGACCATGTGATATTTCAGTTTTTTTTTAATAAATCTGTAAAAATGTCAAACATTCTGTGTTTTTCTGTCAATCTGGGGTGCTGTGTGTACATTAATGAGGAAAAAAATGAACTTAAATGATTTTAGCATATGGCTGCAATATAACAGAGTGAAAAATTTAAGGGGGTCTGAATACTTTCCATACCCACTGTATCACCTTGTTTACAGTACTATATCCATTTGTAACCCCTGTATCACGATACTTATTGCATCGCCATCCCCAGTCCAGTGCATAGCCCTATTCCTTCGTACGACCTGCAGACAGCATTAGGATGAGGAACTCCACTGGCAGCAGCTTGCTCTTGACTTTCATATGGTCTAATCTGTGGGTTCAGAAGGACTGGCCTCATCTTACTCTGCACTGGCCAGACATCTGCTGTTGAGTGGATATGTTTAAAAACTGAGTGTATATCACATTGTCATTGTGATGCGTGTGAGTACAGTGAGGGCTATATGCAGAGGGGCTGTGTGGTTGCGCATGTGTGCCGGAGAGTCTTGGATTGCTTTTCTTGCTGCACTGAACTGATATGCAAGATAAAGCTGAGTTTACACACAGCTGCCCCAGCAGCCTGGCACTCTGTGTGTGTGCTTTTGGACAGCTCTGGTCATGGTGAATGAAAGATCAGAGAGAGGAAAAGAGAAAGCAGATGGACCGCCCTCAGGGCCAGAAGGGGAGGGGGGGATAAAAAAAGAAAGAGTAACACCAATTAAACACTGACACACTTAGCCCTGCCAACCTTCATTCCATCTCTTCCCTGTTTTCTCCTGAGTCTGCCCCTCTGTGAGGACTGATGTTACAATGCAGCACTCAGAAACACAAGACACCACAGACACAGTCTAATACAGCACTTGAGGGACCCCACATGCAAGAACATCTAACTTTCCTGTCCTGTATGTTTAAGAATCTCTGGCCTTATTTTAGAACAACTAAGTATTATATTTATCTCTAAGGCTCACCTCCGTTGCTGCTGATGTACACATCTGTATTGCATTACTGTCCTTTAAAGTTTCAGATGCAATACAGTTTATAAATCCAACAGAGTACAAATCACCCTGAAATGAGAATAGTCACACATTCATGCCTGTCCTACCATGTAAAATATACCTGTAATAGATATCCATTTGTTTGGCCTCCCTGTGCTTTGATTTAAAGTTTTTTTTTTTTTTTTGGCAAAATGCATTTTTCAGCCTAAGGTCTCTGAAACATTGAGGATAAATCAGAGTAAATAGTTTTCAGGCTTTACTACCCTATACAGCATTATACGACTTAAATATCACATTTTTTCTAAGCATTCATTAACTGTTTAAAGCTGAAACAACTGAGGATTGTTATAAATTCCAGTTTCTCTCAGTTTAGGACAATGAGGATGAACAGAACATAAAAAATGAAAATCTGAACGAAGAAAGAAAAAAATATGAAAAAAAAACGAGAGATAAAAGGAGGAACAGAGATGCCCCAAGACAGAAGAGTTAGCGTAAATACAGGGGCAGAATTAGAGGGGAGACAGAGAAATGATGATGAGGGGCACAGAGTGACAAGACAGGAGTAGACAGCATCATGTTAGAGGGCAGAGATACAGAGCCAGAGAGAAAGAAGAGCAAGAAAAGGAAAGAAAAGAAGAGTGACAGAAGTAGAGGGCAGACTAGGAAGGGAGAGGTGGACAGACAGAAGAGGAGGGGAGAGGTGTGTGTAGCACAGAGATGGGGAGTCAATAATGACTGATTACTGTAATTCAGCCTGTCAGAGACATCGACCTGCTGCAACCACCAATCAATACACACCAGGACACTTGCAGACACACACAAACACCTTTAAACGAGCATGCACGATACGTGTGTCGTCTGGCACGTGTACATGGTCACACACATACAGTGGGTAAACTCAGCCACACACAAAACAATCTAGGAAAATGCACAAACACAACTGCAGAGATGTCTACATGTCGGCACTCAGTCAAAGTCACAGGAATCACACAAAATGTACATATAAACTGAGGCAAGTATATGTGCACGAAGGTGCACACACAGTCACAATGGGACGGAGCTACAGCCCTATACAAGGCCTAACAATCTGTCTCTGTGTCCCTGGGTGGATATGGCAGAACAAAATGGCTTCTTCACTACCCCCATTCATACTGTACCTACACTCCTTGCACCTTCTTGGCTTCCACCAACACTCATATTATCCTTCTAAAGAGAGAGGGTGACCGAAAAAAGAAAGAGTCAAGACAATGGTTGTGAGAAAATGTTGGACAAGAGGGGAGAGTGATAAAATACAAGAGACAATATGAGAGTGAGGAGACAGAGCAATGGGATAAAGTACAAAAGTGAAGAAGGTCAAAGATGGAGCAGAACAAAAGAAGGAAGGACACCAAGAGGGGAATTACGATGAGCCACAAGGGAAATAGTGACAGAAAAAAATGGAATCAGTGGTAAGAGAGAGGGCATTTTGGTAAATAAATAAATCAATAAATAAAACCACAACATGGTTTGAATCTCAGGCTATCAGAAAGTCGGGGTTGTATTAAAGTGGAACAGAAGTTTACATCTTTGCATCAGTGGGCACTTTGAATGGTGTGAATACTGGCATTTTTTTTGTTGACTAAGATTTTTACTTTTGGACGGTGTTATTGTGGGTTTTCTTTCTTTCTGAACAACAGGCTTGTATGGTTTACCTTTTCCACATTGTCTCCTTAGTCTAAACTATTTGTGGTTATCGTGTGACCAACTGTTGCTTCCGTCACCTTATTGTTGACTGAAGAGGCCTGTTTCTGTTGTTTATTTACTACCCCTTGCTGTACACCAACAAGCAGGCTGCACAACTCATATCCTACTGTAGGTTTTATAGTCTTCCTCTGAATAACCGGTGGTCGTGCTCCAAGAAACGTAGCAAATGTGCCAACAAGGGCAGTGAAGAAAACTGCTAGCAAGCATATGCACAGTAGCTGTAGACAATGGGGGATTCAAATATTAAAAACATATCAGCTTTGGTTAAACCTCAAAGATGCATTCATATATTCTGGTAACACTAAATGAACATATCTTTGATTGTGCAACTTATCTCACACAACCAGTAAAGTGCATCAGTGATCAGGTTTCCATTCTGTGTAATAGTTTCAAGAGGCAGGGATCGGTTTTATGCTTCTGGCATTCCCTGCTGCAGGTGACTTTGCTAGAACTCATCACATCAATCAAAGTCACAAATCGAAAACTTTGTTTGATCACAATGAAAATAAAGTTGAACATATCTGCGTAGGAAGGGAAGTAGTGTGGGAAAAAGAAACAGACAGACAAGCAGACAGGATCATTAGGGAATCTAACTGCTGTAAATGCTGCTTTGAAGAAATTCCAATGATCAGTCAGTAGCTTAACTTTCCTCAATGGGCCCCCCTGTCACCTCACAGTGGTGTGTGTGTTTTTGTGTGTATGTGTACATACACTTCTTAAACGCCACTCCATAAATCTGCATGTATGTATGTGGGTGTACTTGCATTTATGTACTTCTGAGGTGTCGCTGTGAGTGCAATCATCTGTCTGTGCTTGTTAGAATCAAGAGTGTGTATGAATAGAGTGTGTATTTGTACATGTGTACATCTGTGTGTGACACTAGAGAGTGAAACCCCTTGTTTAGAAAAAGCTTTAGAGAGAGGAGTCATCGATAAGTATTGACCGCTAGGCTTGTTCCAACCAGACTACCATCGCATCAGATCAAGCAGACAGACTGAATACGCACCTGTCTGTTTCTCTTTCTCTCCTATGCACACACACACACAGTCTAGTCAAATGCACACACACACACACACAGTCTAGTCAAATTTTATGTGCCTGGCTATGCATGACAAACACACACTTGACATACAGCACTTCAGAGTGGACTAAATACAGCTCTGTCACACTAGCACTTATATTCTAAAAGTTCAACACCACTGGACATTGATTTGCTATTTTTAACACTTGAGCTGAGTGATAACCAACATTCTCCCTCACACATACATGTGGAAGGATTTCAACAGCCCACACTACAGTACAGACATATTTTAACAACTTCAAGTATTTTATTTGATCATGAGATAAGAATGAGGTGTGAGCATGAAGACAGAAACAAAGGCAATAAACTGACGAAAAATGAAATGCTTCAATAACCTACCGTTCACTTCTGATGCTATTTTTGTATATTCTGAGAAGGAGTTTTCAAAGGATACAAGTTCTGGTAAAGAGGAATGAGGGATTTGAGAGCTCGGCTGGCATTGATAGCTGTGGCTCTGACCATAGTGGGCAAGATCTTCATGTCCACTATTGCACCGTCAAACAGTGGACCAAAGAACGGCACCTACGCCCAGAAAAGACAAGTAGTGAAAACTCACCAGACACAACATATCTGTAGTTTACAATGAACCCATTGCCTATGGAAACCTCTCAAAGACATCAAATTCTAAATATAGTTAAGAAACATAATCTCTGGGAGCTGCTGTGTTGTTGTGAACTGACCTGAACAGTAATGACTGACATGACAGTGGTTGTATTAATTATATAGAGTTTGATTCAGGCTATAGCTTTCTGATGTATTTCAATACTTTGCTTGAGGAATCCACCAAAGAAAGTAATGCCAGGGTTTTTCATGATAATGCAATAATTTTGATAGGAGACGGAATGAAATGGAATATGATTGTGTCTATGTCATACAGAAAAAGCAGCATTTTACTGCGTTAGGTCTCGTTTAAAATAGTTATGCTATACCAGTGCTGTGGTATTAATGTCTGTGTGTTTTAGACTGATACATTAACCAGAGCTTTAAGACTTGGACAAAACTCTCTGTAGGATTGTCAGCATATCTCTGTCGTATGGTAAGATGCATGAAATTATAAACCTAAATTTGCAATTCATTCCTACCCAACTCATATACTTGTTAAAACCAAACAACATAAAGACTCTAACAACTCACAATGATTAGCTGATTAACTGAGTGACAGAAAATTAATTGGCAACAATTTAATAACTGATTGTTTAAGCAAGACATCAGTTAGAAACTGCACCGTGTGCTTTCAACTTCCAGGATTTGCTGGTTCCCTGTTTTATAAAACACATTAAATACATTTGGGCTCTGTGAAAGTTTTTTCTTTACCCTGAAAGCTGTAATTTGACACAAAAAAAGATTGTATTTTTACTGTATTGTATTGAATACGGTAAAAATTACACTGGTCATCCAATGATCTACACTACAATTACAGCACCACAAGAGGTTTCATGTATAGTGTTAAAGGGTTAACCCAGAGGACAGAATTACCATCCTGGGTTTTAATGATCCTCTTGTTTCTGAGGCATTTTCACCCAGTGATTAACAAATTTCAACAAAACAATGAAATGGAGATGCTGAATAACTACACACAATATTGAGAAGTGGCAGCTTCAGTATGGATTAAAAAAAGGCTGAACACTTTGTTTACCTCTGGTTTTTTGAGAATATGGACAGAGTACATGTGATTCTTCATGGGGTAGATGATGATTAGTACGTCTCCAAACTCAGTGGGAATGATTCCTTGACGGTAGTCTCTGGAATGTTCCGACCAGACAATGTGGACCTCGTCATTACCCAGGTGCCTCAGCTGGAGGGACAAAGGTAAGTGGGAAGATGAAGAAGTGGGAAAGAAATGTTAATACTACAGTATTTCCAACAATTAGATTCTACTTGTATATTGATATAAATGTAGTAATACTACATTATAATAATACAATTAAATATAGTAATACTATAGTAGGCTAACTCTGTGCTGTTGTACTGTTCATCTGTTGTGCTGTCCCTTTTGCTTTCCTACATCTCTCTCTTCTTGACCCTCTCTCGCTGCGTCAGCAGCACTGGTTAAGGCCAGTATATCTTTGAAATGAATCAGGTGGATCACTAACCACACTGATTGGAATGATCAGCTTTCCCACGTGTGTTTATCGATATTCTCCCAGACTGAGGGTCCAAACATTCAGCGTCAGGCTTAATGAACGAGCATTAACTTTATCCACTTGCAGAGCAGTCCATATACTGTACATCCATGCTATAATATACAGCGTGTTGACCTCGGCAACAGATGTATTGTAACGTTAGCTTAGCTAGACTTACTAGCTTGCTATTAACATATCAGAAGAGTTGGATCTCTGTGACTGACAGCATTGTGTTAAAAAAAACAAACAAACAAGGAGAGGAGGAGTTGTTCACAGACCATTGTCACATGTTTGTGTGTGAGAGAGAAAAACAGAGCGTCACATGGGACTGAATACATGTGCTACGCGTGGCACTGTATTGAAATAAGATTTAACCTAGGTATTTTAAATCAATACAGTGCCTTGCGAATCTGGATGAACTGCAGAGATCTACAGCTGAGGTGGGAGACTCTGTCCATAGGACAACAATCAGTCGTATACTGCACAAATCTGGCCTTTATGGAAGAGTGGCAAGAAGAAAGCCATTTCTTAAAGATATCCATAAAAAGTGTAGTTTAAAGTTTGCCAAGAGCCACCTGGGAGACACACCAAACATGTGGAAGAAGGTGCTCTGGTCAGATGAAACCAAAATTGAACTTTTTGGCAACAATGCAAAACGTTATGTTTGGCGTAAAAGCAACACAGCTCATCACCCTGAACACACCATCCCCACTGTCAAACATGGTGGTGGCAGCATCATGGTTTGGGCCTGCTTTCTTCAGCAGGGACAGGGAAGATGGTTAAACTTGATGGGAAGATGGATGGAGCCAAATACAGGACCATTCTGGATGGAAACCTGATGGAGTCTGCAAAAGACCTGAGACTGGGACGGAGATTTGTCTTCCAACAAGACAATGATTCAAAACATAAAGCAAAATCTACAATGGAATGGTTCAAAACTAAACATATCCAGGTGTTAGAATGGCCAAGTCAAAGTCCAGACCTGAATCCAATTGAGAATCTGTGGAAAGAACTGAAAACTGCTGTTCACAAATGCTCTCCATCCAACCTCACTGAGCTTGAGCTGTTTTGCAAGGAGGAATGGGCAAAAATTTCAGTCTCTCGATGTGCAAAACTGATAGAGACATACCCCAAGCGACTTACAGCTGTAATCGCAGCAAAAGGTGGCGCTACAAAGTATTAACTTAAGGGGGCTGAATAATTTTGCACGCCCAATTTTTCAGTTTTTTATTTGTTAAAAAAGTTTGAAATATCCAATAAATTTCGTTCCACTTCATGATTGTGTCCCACTTGTTGTTGATTCTTCACAAAAAATTAAAGTTTTATATCTTTATATTTGAAACCTGAAATGTGGCAAAAGGTCGCAAAGTTCAAGGGGGCCGAATACTTTCGCAAGGCACTGTATGTAGCGGTTAATGTTGATATTGTGGTGCCCTATGACAAATAAATTATGGCAAACACTGTATTAGAATCAAAACAGAATGGATATTTAACAGGTATTGTACAGGATAAACAGTACAAACTAAGTCAAAGTCAACCACACACACAAACAATGTGCTAGATAGGCTGTATCCATCATAAACCCAAGGCTTTTGATTTTGTATGTGGTGCAGGTGTCCCTGGGGGTGATGGAGTGAATGTGTGAAGATGAAAGGTGGACACGACAGAGTAAAGCTCCAGAAAGATGGAGCATCAGGTGGGAGATAGATGGGATTGAGTCTGATGTTGTGTGATTGTGTGTGTGACTCCCATTCACTCAGCTGCTTATAGTCATGGCTGGTGACAGCTGTCATTAACCTTGATGTCTGCCAAAATAACACATACACACGCACACACACACACACACACACACACACACACACACATACACACACAGACACTTCTCTACCGTGCTGGGGTGTCACACACCCTCAGATGGTTGCTGATCCCGGCCTTGGCCCTGAGACATAGATAGGACATTTCCTTTTAAATGGGTCTTTAAACAGAATCTGTGGTATTGTATTTTGTCCTCTGTTAAGGTTTTTAAAGAGGTATGCTTTGTGTCCATAATGTGATGGGATTTGTTAACCCAAAGGGTTGTCCACATTTCAGTAGACAGTGCATCAGGATGCTCAGTCTGATAAAATGTCATTTTGTTTATACAGACACCTCACTTGACTGTCACACAAGCCTGAGGTTGAATGAATTAATAAGGAGGCCTGGAGAACCTCATTCATCACGTTTGGAAGTGACTGACTGCATTGAGTTATAGGGCTAATTACCCCGATATTTTCTTGACTAGAGATACATTAGGTTGATATATCACGCAGAGCTTTTAAAATACACGAGGAATAGAGTATTTATCAAGCTCTATTTACAATAAATCTTTTAGAGGCACTTTGCTCTGATGATGATTGCAATTCAAAGTGTCAGCAAGACACAACTCACAATGACACTGAGAACTGAAAGGATCTGCCATTATCACATTTGCAGAGTGAGAATTATGAGATTTCAGCAGTATTTTTGGCATCAGAACAATTAGCTGACAGTCTAATTAGGCAAAGAGGAGTCTTACTGTCTGGTGAGCTTCTGGGCTGTATCACTATTTTAGAAATATTTTAATGATAAATATCACACTGATGTCATTTCTGATGCCACAATCAGCTGCTGTACTGCAGCTTTAATCCTTTTAATCATGTTTCAAGCAGATGTGGTATGAGAAGGACCAAAACACACAGCAGACTGAGAACTGGACAACTGCCCTGTGGTGGACTACATTCACACAGCACTGTATATTGTTGTGTGTATGTGTGTGAGAGACAGGAGGTTGGATGATAAATTCCTGCCAGTATACATGTGTACAACTGTTTAACCTCTCTGTGGACATGTTTGTCAAACATGGTTGTGTGTGTGTGTGTTCTTCTGAATCCAACAGTAACACAAATATATAGTTGTGTGGTTATTTGCGCAGACCGATGAGAATGAAGCCCTTAGTGGATGTGTGCTTGTGTCAAGTTAAACAGGTTTATAGTGCATGTGTGTGCGCATATGTGAGTATGCATGTTTGATGGGGCCATCAGCTGATCAGGGAGAAGGATGGTGTCAGACCAGGCGCTGATAATCCAATCAAGGCCCTGCAGCAACGTGATAGGCCGAGAAGCAGGAAGTATGATCTGATTAAAGGGACATTATGGCCATGTGCTGTGCAGAGCACCCAGTGCCTGGGGGTTGACAGGTGTGCGTGCACACAAACTCACAACACACACACTAAACCTGTCTGCCTAAACAGTAATACAAACCAACACCATGCACAAACACAGACATGACTGCTACTAAGAACTATTGGAAAAAATAGCCATCAACTGTGTGTGTGTGTGTGTGTGTGTGTGTGTGTGTGGGCTGGTATTACTCACGCTGTGGGGACATTATTCTGTCTACACAGTTCCTGTGTTGGGGACTCAACATCATTAAAAGGACAAAAAGCAAGTCCCCATAATGATAGTAACATGACACGGGGGGGGCTTAAAGCAGGGATGCTTGTCAGTATTAATGAATGAAAATGAAATATAATGATAAATTGTTGCCTTAAATCCAACTACCATTTTTCTGGTGCTTTATAATTGCTATTGGTCAAACTATACATGCAGCATGATATTTGCATTCATTTCTCCGACTGTTGTTGAGGACCTGGCATGATTTGCCTCAGTGAGAGGGAACCACTGTGCAGCAGCAATGTCCCTGGCCAGAAATACTACACGTGTCTTATTGTTACACAAACTATTTGATTCTTAATTTATTAATTTATCTTTTACATGTATTTTAAATGTACCACCCCTCTCTGAGGTTGAGTCCAAAATTTTCTAGATCTGACCCTGAGTAGAGCGTGACTTGAAGTGCTGATGATGACTGAATGTGACTGGATACCAGCTGTAGGTTAGTGTTACACACTCTAAATGAACGAACTCCATGCAAAAATAAAATGCAAATTGTAGATATTGGTACAGTTGAAGTCAGAAGTTTACATACACCTTAGCCAAATACATTTAAACTCAGCTTTTCACAGCTCCTGATATTTAATCCTATAAACATTCCCTGTCTTTGGTCAGTTAGGATCAGAACGTGAAATGTCAGAATCATAGTAGAGAAAAAGATTTATTTCAGCTTTTGTGTTTCATCACATTCACAGTGGGTTAGAAGTTTACATGCATTGGGTTAATATTTGGTCGCACTGTCTTTAAATTGTTTAACTTGGGTCAAATCCACAAGCTTCTTACAATAAGTTGCTGGAAGTGTCCATCCAACTTTTGAAATGTCAGCATTTCAAAATCCCCCAGCAAAACACAAGTAGCTGTCCTTCCCTTAACTGGACAGAGGAGAGTGAACACCAGTCAGACAGGTGTGTGTTACCTTCTTGGTGAGATTGTGGTCCTGGTCGTGGGGCATGCGGGTGGAGACGTGGTAAATAACCTCGGTAGTGGAAGTGGCATAGTAAGGTGTGGTCTGGCCTGTACTGCGATTCCTCTGGAGACCTCCCATGAAGCCACAGTGAGTGGCGAGGTCCACCTAATTAAAACACATTTATAAAAATTACTAACTCCCTTCCTAATGTATTGCCTTAAATCCTACATTAAAACTAATTTAAATCAGACTGGCTTCAGGTTCCTCTGGACTGTTTAACCAACAAATCAAGAGAAATAAATAAATAATAAACATTAAAGTCTACAGTGTAGTTTAAGCATCCAGTTAAAACTGCTTAGTGCAATATGTTGCTTACAACTGTTAAATCATTTTAATTTCTATTCTCAGTTTGTAGGATTTTTACTTGTGTGAAGAGAACTACTCAGCACAAAGCTCCTCATGCCAAAACACACACACAAAATAAGTGAGACAGTTTTTAAATCTCATTAAATCAGTTCAAGTATATGAAAATGATTAGACCATTAGCTGTAGAGCAAGTAATCAGAGGCAGTCACATTTTATTTCAAAGAAACAATGTAAATATAAAAGTACAATTTGAAAGTATGAAAAAGACAACAGCCAGGCAATGTAAGAATATTTGAATAAATTATTATAATAATTTTTTTTTACCTCCCAGCCCAATCCAGAGACAAAGTCTTCATACGCCTGGCTGCCTGCTGTGTTAGTTAATATGGAGTGTTTGTCTTCCTGACCATCAGCCACATAAAATACTGCTATTTTGTGGGTCTCACGGCTAGAAGAAAATAAAGGAAAACAAAGATGACCAACTAATGAGACATTATAAAAGCAGCAACATTTCCATCAGTAATTTCAAAACAAATCCTTACCAAAGATTTGGTTTCTTACCACAGTCGTGAGTCCAGGTTCTTCAACTCTCTCAGTAACTTCTCATTCTTCCTCAGCAAATGAAAGTTGCTCCTGCAAGGCACAGACACAAGAACAGGTTATGAATCACTATCCAGTCTTATCGTTAACCTGCATCTCTGCAATCATCTACCAGCTACCACTGGCATCTCTCCTAATTGTCTGGTTGCCTGTTCCTCTTGCTGTTTCCTTGAAAAAAAATCTAAATAAAAAAATAACAAACATTTTAAAATAAAACCACTTTTTTTGTAATTAATAAACTGAAATCTCTTAATTATATATAGTACTCAGAGCCTTTGCTCTGGCATCCTGTTTGCTTTAATTCTCCTTGAGATGTGTTTATGACTTGACTGGAGTCAACCCATGGCAAATTAAAATAGACTGGACATGAATTGGACATCGTTTAGAGACTCACGTGCACAAAAAAGTGAAGGTGTCTGAAAACTTTCTGAAGCTACTGCAAAATGCTTAAACCCTGGAAGTGAAATCTTAAAACATCAGTGTTATGTCAGGGTCCAAACCAAACAAGTAGACAAGAGTAGACTTTGCACACATAAGAATGATTCACCAAACAGTCTGCACTGTCATTAAAATATAAGGCTGATTAGATATTTGTTTGTGCCTTTTGCCACTTTGAAACCTTTAACATGATCAAATCAGTCTTCTCCACATTCACAAAAAACTGTAATGCTGCAAAGATGTCATTGGGTGAAACTGTCTTTGAATAAGAAAACATAACATTCAACAACTGTCTCTGTGACCTGCCATACATATTAGCATCTTGTTGATACTAAATGCAAGAGTATCTCCCTGGAGTGAAGCAGGTTAGACAGTTTGCTATTTGTCAGATGAAACCTTTATATTTCAGAGATGGAAAAAAAACCTTTACAAAAGGAAGAATATCAAGAGTTTAGAGATGAAGAACCTGCAGTAACCATGTTCCTACATTAGCTTTTAAATTTCATATTAAAAGGTCTTTGTGATGCCCTGTCTAATCCAAACATACCAATTTTTTTCAGACTTACAACAAAAGAAGTCATATAATGTGTTAGACATACTGAACCTTTTTAAAGTAGGCTTCTAAATCTCTATTTTCTGCAAATTTGGTTATGCTTGCTAACTGTCAGACACTACAACAAGGATATACTGTAGTTCTTCATATTACAAAGACTTATAGTTTCTATTGGCTTTTAGTAGGAGAAATTCTCATTCTTGGCTTGAAAAAACTTAGTTTGTATGGTATGTTGTCTGACCATGTCTGAAGGCAAAAACTGTTCATACTTGATCTAAACGACCACATTCAAAGGTGGCCTGAAAAGCTGGCTGTCATGGAGAGAGGTGAGATGCAGCTATGTTGTAAAAATGGGGATAGTGTTTTGTATTTTCGTGTCCATTAGCTAGCCACTGTGGAAGTATCCACAGTGAATCTGTAATTTGTATACATGAAAAGTGACAGAATTAGTTGTGTAAAGAATGGGAAAAAGAGGGGTTAAAGGAAAAGTTCAGACACTGCATACTTCTCACCTTCACACACCTGGCCTATTGCTGCATGAAGCAGGTGTCAATGTTGCATGGTCGGTTTCAGAAAATTACAGAAATCGGAAGACATGTCTGATGGCCAAAAGGTGTGGGGGGGGGGGGGGTTTCAGATGCTATTCAGCCATTCAACAACCTCTTCTGTTTCTAAACATAAACTCAACTGTGGCCTTACAAATATAGACTGCTGTGTAATATTTTTACTTGATTAAGAACAAGCAAAGGCAACCACATCTCATGCTGAACATAGCTAGTGCCACCACTATCTTCAGGGTCCAATTAGAAAAGTGTGAGGAACCTATGTTTAATTAAAACAACAACCTTTCATAGAGACTAACTAGTCCATAAGCCATTTAAAATGTCCCAGAGATCAGACCCCAACCTTGGCAGCATTGGTGTAAAACCAAGACTCAGGTAGTGAAGCTCGGAGTGGACTGATAATGACACGTCATTCTTTTCACTCTTGGAGAGGAAAAGAGAAAGAGCTGGAGATAAATAGAGAGGGGGAGGGAGGTAGGGAGGTAGGGAGAGAGAGAGAGAGAGAGAGAAAGAGAGAGGGAGAGAGCAATTTGCTCTTTATTAAAGTGATACTTGGTAATGGCCTCATTCTCTGCTCTCAAAGACTCCATTTACACCCTGGATTATAGGGAGAAGCATAAAAGGGGACACACACACACACACACACACACACACACACACACACACACACACACACACACACACACACGTGGACGACTGTCAGTATCTTAGTGTCTGAAATGTCCTATATGAATACCTGGAGAGACATAAGAGGACAATAACAGATGATTAGTGATACTCAGTCTGTACTCTTTTCTGTTTTGGCCTCTATTTTTTTTTTTCATTTTGGTTCCATTTCTTTTTTGTTTTTATTCTCTCTCTACATCTACACATGCTTTATTCATCCTGTTTTCTCATTTGCCACATCTCTCTCCATCACTCTCTTCTTCAACTACTGCCTTTTATTCTAACTCCAAATGGGTTGAGTTTGATCAATAGAGTACTATACTCATTATCACACGCTGTTACATGCACACACGCACACAGTGTGTTAAGAAGTCTATTGTGCAGGCTGAATGCGGACTGTGTAATTCCCTGGATAAAGTATTAAAAGAGATGCGTGTCCATTAGCTAGCCAGACACATTTAAAGTGATACCTTGACACTGTGCATTTTAGCCCAGAGTCATTGAGAATATGAAATGCTATGCGATGTCAATGAGAAAACATGGTGTCTAATTAACACAAAATACTTTGTTACAGTCTCTCATTTGCACTCAACAAGCATTGGGTTTGTTCTAGCAGAGACAAACATTAATAAAAGCCCTCTCACATCCTACACCAACCTGAAAAACAGCTCATTAGTAAAGGTTGGAAAGCTCTGCATTCATTCACTGTTAGCACAAACGGCGCATACAATTTTATTGTTTTTTTTATATAAAAGTAAACAAACCGATGACAAAAAAAAAAATCCCTTCATAAGATTGTCGTCAAGAAGATAAACAACAAATATCTGAACTTGGTGACATTCTCCAAACCTTAGTTGGCAACAAAGTACCAAAGGACATAGAGGGAGCGCTGCACAAGTGATTTATGAAAATGCTAGAAAAGTTAACAAAAATACACTTACCTGCCACTTTGGTGTACTGGACTACATTATACTCAGAGGTATCTTTATATTTTTGTCCTCCCCAGCTACATACTGTACATGACAAGGTCAGAATATTAGGAACACCTCTGAATATAATGTAGTCCAGTACAACACCACCTTTAACTATCACCTCAATAATAAACATATAACTGAATTTATACATTTATGACAATTTCACCAAAAGCTGAAATAATTTGAGCGTCATAAACACAGATGTTAAGGTGGAAGTGTTGCACAGAATATCATACAACTGTACAGCTGTACCTAATAAAGTGGCCGTGAGTGTATACTGACAGAACAAACAGAACCAAACTGATGATTTGTGATATATATTGCAGACACTGTATATGGTTTAAAAAATGTTTTAACATAAAAAATTATTTTGAGTCTGGTTTCACCTCTTCTCCCAGGAGCTGAGTCCCAGTATGTTGATCAGCAGTCTGCAGTAGTAGAAGGCTGACTGTGGCGTCTGGGTCTCTGGTTCTGTCTGCTGCACTGCCCTCATGTTCAGCTCCTCACCTCTCTGAAACATTACACAATGTACTTTAGTACAGACATTGCACAGGAACACAATCATGGAAACTGAACAGAAAATACCATGTAATGTTAAAAAGAAAGTGGGAAGGAATGAGAGCTATGGCTAAACAAAATAATCTATCAACTTTACTTATTGACAAATGACAATCAGGCTAGAGAAGCAATCAAAGAAGAAAGAGTTACAGGATCCTTATGACTTGTCACTGCAGGGAACGTTTTAATAATAACATTAATGGCTGCTTGCACTACACATGTGTCAGTGAGTCAGTGTGCACAGCATACCAGGACCCAGACACTAAAGTAGTTCAATGGAATTCAGTCATGATTCATTTTATTATGAACTATCTACGCTTTTCCTACTGTTCAAATTTCTGCTGTGAAAAACACCCATGGAAATGGAGCAAATCTTCACTATAATGTTGGCAGCATAAAAAATGAGCAATATTAGGTTTCAACCTAATTTTAAGCTAAGTGGCATTAGCCAAACTACAGAGATGCTTGTACTGAACTTGTGTGGACCAGCAATTGAGTATCCACCTGTTTAAGATGCTGTAGGAAGTAAGAAAGAAAACATTGTCATGGTTTTACTCGGTCTACTCATATAAACATAGATGCTACATACATGCAGGACAAACTCTCTCTCAGCTGCACTCTGCTTCAGGATGGCATTTATCACATCGTTCTCCTGCTTCTCTGAGACACACACTGGAGGGGAGGCTGGGATGTTGAGCGGCATGCCTGGTGGGACCATTCAGGAGCCAAAGTTAGTTGAAAACCATGTGTGGCGATGTGTGTGTTGTCAGAAACTGTGGTTTGTTCCTTTAGGAGTGCTATACTCATGCAACACGTTTCTCTGTTTTTAATGAAAAAACTTGAGGGGTGTGTCTGCTGAAACTCTTCCTTTAGGAGTTGGTGAGTACCTGAACTGAACATCATTATTCTGGCTTTTAATGGAGGTTTTGCTGATTCATTATCCTCTGATTTTAAAGTTATTTTAAAAAGTTTAAGCACAAACTATTGTGAGATTACCTTCTAAAATATTGGTATTGGCCTTCAAATAGGCACACAAACTCATTCATGTATGTTTGTACAGTATGTGTTAAATGAAATAATCTTTATGACAGTTCAGAAGTAAAAATCATCAGGCACTGAGTAGTGTGTGTATACCTGCTCTCTGCAGACATTCAGGACTCGAGTATCCCAGGTACTGGAGCATTTCATCCAGTGCATCATCACCTTCCCTCAGTGAATCCCATGCTGGCACTGCCTCCCAACACACACGTTTAGCCAGTGGTGGAGCCAGAAGCTGTTCCAAGCCCAACTCCCCTTGCCCCACTTCTCTGTCCGCTCTATGCTCCTTCTCTTCCTCCTGATCATCCTCTTGCCCATCTCCTCGATATCCAACTCCCCTTCCATCTCCCTTCCCCTCCTCGCTGATTTTCCTCTCCTCTCCTCCCCCCTCCCACTCTTGCTGAAACTCTTGCCTATCACCCTCCATGCCCCTCACTCTCTCCTCTGACTCACTCTCCTTCTGCCCCTCTTCCTCATTGTCTTCTCTCTTTACTCCCATCTTTTTTGGTGGACTTCCTGGTGGAGTGTGTAAATGAAGACTCGCATTGTGAGGTGACTGTGTGTGTGTTAAAAGTGTGTGTGCTGGGCTGTTTGGGGAGCATGGTGGAGGCCCATAAAGGACGGCAGAGTCCCAGGAGTGTTTTCCAGCTACATCTCGGATGATAACACGAACACAAGCAGGAGCAGAAGATAAACCAGCTGTCATTCCACCTCCTGGTACACCAGACTCTGAGCGAATCTGGGAAATAATGGCAGAAATGAACAGCGGTTAAATGCTAAAACTTTCAAAAAAATGAAAGCAATCATCCTAATGGAGTTGGAGCACCTTACACACAATCCACATCTCAAGTGCTGTGCAAAACCCAGTCCTAGTGACAGTCCAAAACCTCAATAATACTCATTTGCTTCCTTTAGCAATAGTTTCTCTCCTTATAACTGGTAGAACTTATCACCATACTTGAGGAAACCTTGTGCACAGCATTAAATAAATACATCTAATATAATCTAACTCATAGTTACACTGCAAAGTATCACCAGCTGTTGTGTTTCACTGTGGGAGCCTGAACTACACTTAATGAATAACATGCTAACAGACATTGTGATGTCATCTTAGTATAAAGTAAATAAATATACATTACTTCCATTAAACAGTTAAAAGCAGAGGTACAAGGAGCTTCATGGGAGCACATATAATACCTTGAAATAAAAGAATTTAAAGAAAAAAAAATTAAAACAAAACTATCAGCTGAAGTTTTAAAAACTACAGCAGGCACAGGTTGGAATTATACAAGGCTTTTTCAAAATGTGGCACAGACAGCTGATCCAGCTGACTCAGATATTTACATTTCACACATATAGCTCCTCTGAATAATGTCTAGATAATTTCAAGGTTGCAGTGCTTGTCTGAAAAGGCCTGTTGCAATGCAGCCAGAACTGCAGAGATATGTTCTCTGCATTGATTTTTATAAGGTACATACTATGGTAGGCATTATGCTAAGTACACAAAGCCATGCTAATGCTGGCATGTTAACTGACACACCAACTGACAAGTCCAACCCTAGAAGAGGTAAATATTACTGTAAATAATCTTAACTCCCTTCAGCCGAGGTTACCTGGAGCACTGAAAGCAGAGTGGAGCTGTTCAGAACCAGAAACTGTAGGTTTGGTGAATGGAAAAGCTCTGGTACAAGATCTGCACTCTCACAGAAAGGGTTGTCTTGGTTTTCACACACCTGAAAAACATGAGCCATAGTGACCTAAATAACGTACTGAAGACAGTGTAAGTTATTCTCCATAGGACAAGCAAGAGTCACATTATGACACACACAGAGCACCTGACTGGACAGAGTAGCAGGCCCTCCAGACATGGGATAATGTCCAAGGTGGTTGACCAGGTGGGTGATGACTGTTCTGGCTGCAATGGAAACCAGGCCCTGCTGAATACGGCTACGAACTGCAGAGAGAACAAAGAAAGGCAGATAGAGCACATGTACAGATAAGAAAATATTTTTCTCTGTCCCAGATATTAAAAATTTACAGTCCCTTTCATGTTTCAGGTGTAATTGTTAATATTACTTGACATCTACGTAGGCTCCAAGTTGCAGCAAAACTTCAGGAGTTACCATAAACAACTAGGAGGAGGTACAACCACACACTCAGCTTGAACATAGTTTGCCCCGTGCTGAGAAGAAACCAATGCCATCACACACTGTGCTGCCAGCAGATCCTGGCTAATCAGCATTATTACGCACACACTGAGGAGCTCACACACACTTTCCAATAGCTCCTTATTGACAAGCCTGTGAGCAGAGTACAGAAATGTATTGACCAGTCATTCTCAATGACTGGTCACCTCAGGAGAGCGCAGGAGAAGAACAAAAAGGAAAAAAGACAAAGAAAAAAAATTACAATAACCATAAAACTAAAAGTAAAAAACAATATTAGCAGAAAATAATGCTAAAAGAACAAGAACAGAAAAGCACTGAAGGAGAGGACAGAAGGAACGGTAGACGAGAGAATGGTCTATCAGGATATTTCAGGTAATAGACTAGTCCCTGCATCCTGGTGGGTCACAGCAGGGGACAATACACACTCTCACACGGATGCAGAGGGGTGCACTGGTATACATATACACACACACACCTCCCTGCTTCCATCTTTAGTGATTGGCAGTGGTTTGGTGGATGACTCTGGGTAATTTTGCCTGGACCACAGTGTTTGCTTGGGTGTGAGTGTGTTTCACTGCAGCACTTAACATACACAGAAAAATTACAGACTCTAAACAGTCATGGCCAAAAATACTGGCACGCCTGCATTTCTGTTCGATAACGCACTGCTTCTGCTAAAAACAATCAGTCCAAAACACAGGTTTATAAATTCCTAGCAATACAAAGTTTCATCAAAATAAAATAGCATAAAACAACAAGTTAAACCATGTCCCTTTGGGCAGATAAAACGGATAAAGCACCAAAAGCCTGTTTAAAAAGGTGAGTTTTTAAAGTAGACTTAAAAAGCACTAGCTCAGTTATAGACCGAATCTCAGGCAGTAATGAATTCCAGAGTCTAGGACCATAGACAGCAAACGAGCGGTTGCCCGATTTTTTGGATCGGGCCAACTAAGGACAAGTGCTCAGCGGAGCGTAGGTTCGGCACGGAGCATAGCTAGATAGCAGCTCCGACAGGTACAGTGGGGCGAGGCCATGTATGGCTTTAAAGACAAATAGCAGCATCTTAAAATCAACTCTCCATTGTACTGGCAGCCCATGTAGTGAAAAAAAGAACTGGGGTAATGCAGGTGTGGGCATACCTGGGAGTGTTTGACAACAGCCGAGCAGCCGCGTTTTGAACCAGTTGAAGTTTCTGCAGCACAGACTGAGAAACACTAACGTACAAGGCATTGTAATAGTCTAATCATGAGGTAATAAAAGCGTGGACTGCTTTTTCTAAGTCTCCACGCGATAAGAAAGGCTTCACCTTTGTTAAAAGTCTCAGGTGGAAAAAACTGGTCTTGACCACGGCCCTAATCTGCTTATCGAAAGTAAAGCTGTGATCAAATATCACTCCAAGGTTTCTCACCATGTGTGTAGGTGAGGGGGCAGAGGCACCTAAGCTGGATAACACTGCGGCTGGATCAGGGCTGATAACAATATATTCAGTCTTATTCTCATTTAAGTGAAGAAAATTTTGGGCGAGCCATTTCTTAATATCCCGAATATATATGCAACATATTTCTGACCATGCAAATAGCAAAAATTCACAATTACATGTTCATTTTTGTAACTTGGAAATCAGTCCTTATGCCTAATGATGGTCACAATAGGTTGTAAAGTTGTGTAGTGTGCCACCAGTGTTAGATAAATTACCTTCAGTGACAGGCTGTAGCTTGCTGGAGCGTTCTGAGTCTGGGCTATGCAGTGGTTCTGGTTCTCTGAGGCTCTCTAAAGGCAGGAACGGGTCATAATCTGAATTTGACAGGTCTGACAGCTGCAGTGGGTAATACTTGGCACTGCTGAAAGACTGTGCTCCATACACACAACCGTGCAACACCTAGACAGAGTGTAAAAGAAATGGGATACTCTTTATGTGATGCTGCATTTGAATGGATTTCCTATTGCCACATCTAGAGCTCAGTCAGCTTTACTGCATTGATGTTTACGTCAGTTTAATATACGCTCACAGCCACTATACTGTATTAGGTACAGCTATATGATATTCTGTGCAACACTTCCACCTTAACATCTTTGTTTATGAAGCTCAAAATGTTTCAGTTTTTGGTGATACTGTCATAAATGTATACATTCAATTATATGTTTATTATTGAGGCCATAGTTAAAGGTGGTGTTTTACTGGACTACATTATATTCAGAGGTGTTCCTAATATTCTGACCTTCTCATGTATGTAGCTGGGGAGGACAAAAATAAAGACACCTCTGAGTATAATGTAGGCCAGTACAATGCCACCTTTAACTATGACCTCAAAAATAAACATAAAATTGATTTTAGACATTTGTGACAATTTCATCAAAAACTGAAACATGTTGAGCTTCATAAATACAGATGTTAAGGCAGAAGTGTTGCATTGAATTGCACAGATGTACCTAATAAAGTGGCCAGTGAGTGTCAACACTTATTCTCTATGCTGATAATGTTTAGGTGAGATTTAGGTCATAGTGCAATAATGACAATTTAAAATAAGTTTATTGTTAGAAGTGGTGTTGAACCTCCTGTGATGAACAGCCTCTTATTTATTATTATTATTATTATGCTCCTGTGATGAACAGCCTCTTATTTATGTCATTATGCACACACACACACACATAATGTACCTTATAAATACAGCTGAGCAGAGTCTTGGTAGGCTGGTCCCTCTCTGGAGGATTTCGTGTTTGAACAGGCTGAAGAACAGTCTTTGGAGGCAGAGCCATCACCCAGTCCAACATACACAACAGGAGGGAAACTACAAGCTACAACACACACACACACACACACACACACAGGTATTGTGATAAGACTGTGAAAAATTATTCATTTCTAGGCAAGCAGAATTCTGGTGTGTGTATATTACCCTCTTATCAAGTTCATGAGGGGAAGACTCGGTCGTGGGCAACAAGAATGTGATGGTGGCAATCAAAATCTGAGAAAGATCAAATTGGACAAAATTGTTTCCAATGTTAAAACTGTTACTACTTCAACTAGAGACTTCAAAAGTAAAGTCAACTAGACAAAAATATAACAAAAGTAACATGGTGCATTTAAATATGTTCCAGATCTTCTAGGGTCTTAGCTTTACACGATATGATGCAATCCATCAGGATATGTGGACATGATGTTGATGACATGATAAATAATAAATTAAGCTTGAGTTCAAAAATATTCCATCACTTTGTTGAGAATTAGCTTATGTCTCACCTCTACAATTTTCTTTGGAGTGTCAGGGGGGAACTTCTGAAGATGATCCACATAACTGATCAGCAGGTGAAGGATGTCTGATGCCACCAGTGCTACACTCTTATTGGGGTACTGGGAGGTGAAACACATTTATGTTAACTCACTTTCTGTAGGTGATTTCATATCTTCTGTCTTTCATTTCTTTTTACTGTAAAATGAAGCAGCCAAACTAATCTTTTCCACTGTTTCTATGCTAAGGAACAGATTGCAGCTAAATATTCTAATGAGGATCACCCTGGGTAAAACAAAAATACTTCTCGATGAAAAGGAAGGTAAAGGAGGACACCAGAAAAACGTGGCTCTGCGTGGAAACATGATAATCCCTCAAGATGTGAATATTTAATTGTGTGTATGTCACAGAGCCCATGGCTGAAACTACTGAGATTCAAAAGCAGACAAAGTGTATGTGATAGTGTGTGTGTGTGTGTGTGACACCACTGTCTCCATGGGTCAGTCTCCTATCTTAAGGAGGACCAAACATTTTGACAGTCTAGGGTTTGCTCCCTGGAGTAAGTGAATGCAAGTGCGTGTGTGTGTGTGTGTTGCTCTACAGTAGTGTCTTAGCAGGCCACTGGCTGCTGATACACAAGCTAGGGATTCCAAGAGGAAAAGGTATGTGTTTGTGTCCATCTCGAGCCACTTGGCTATAGATGAGACGGTAAATCTTGGGACAGTATTATTGTGCTCCACAGGCCTACCGGTGCAGCAGTATGAAACAGACAATACCAACAGAGGCAATTTCACCATGACCGACAATCGTCTCCAGCAATGTTTTCCTAATCCAACACATCCTAATCATCCAAAACTCAGACAGTATTTTGGTGCCTTAAATTTGCCAGCATTTACATTTTAACCAGTTATGTCCTCACTATTTCTACAGTGTTAATCCGTGACTGTGCTTTCAAATTGAAAGCACTAAAATAAACAAAAAAGCTATAGTTCCTTATTGAAAGAAAGAAAGAAAGATTTTTTTTTTTTTGTCAATTCACTATATGTGCAGGACATACAGAAAATCGAAATACCGTTTCTCTCTCTCACCTAGTATTGGGTGCCATTACCATTTAGGAAACTAAAATAGAATAAAAGTAGAGTAAAAATAGACTAAAAAGAAAAAGAAAACTGAATCAAGGTGATTTGGATAAAACTAAAAACTAAACGGTACAACCCAATAGGCTATGACTCAAACCATATACAATTAGTGACAGTAGTGCAAATAATCAGTTTGTCAGATGGTTGTAAGACTGAGATGCACATGGACAGTAGCGCAAATGACCAACAGCAGCAGATATGATGGTAAAAACAGTCAGCAGCAGATTTAAAGAAGGGGGAATGTACTGAGTTTGTGCAAAACAACAGAGGTAGTTCTTTTTATGTTCTGTGGTGGGTTACAGTCCAGGGGCAGAGGGAGGGAGGTAATGGACAGTATTCAGCATCCTCACAGCCTGATGGATGAAGCTGTTTATAAGTCTGATGGAGTGGGCCTGGAGACTCTGATACCTTCTCCCTGAAGGGAGGAGTCTGAACTGGGAGTGTGAGGGGTGGGAGGTGTCATCAGCAATGCTGATGGCTCTGCGGGTGACACGGGTGTTAAAGATGTCAGTGAGGGAAGGCAGAGGTGCGCCGATGATCTTGCTGGCTGTGTTCACTGTGTGTTGCAGAGTCCTTTTGCAGGAGGCAGTACAGGCTCCGTACCACACAGTGATACAGCCAGTGATGACGCTCTCAATGGTGCCCCGCTAGAAGGAGCGCATAATGGGGGGTGGGACACTAACGCTCCTCAGTTTGTGCAGGATATCTGGTTTTAGCAAATAATTTCTAGGGGACATAGATATGCAGACAGAGGAGGAGCAGATGTTCAGACACTACTATGCAGATCAGTGCAATATAGGGTCAGTCAGGAGCCTGCTTGATTCACGGTCATTGCTTTGGTCTTATTTCACTGGATCTCACTCAGACACAGAGTACAGTGGTCAACAGGGACAAAGTTTGAAAACAGACGAAGGCTGCATGAAATGACCTTATTCAGCTGGGTTGACCAATGACCAATTTTTAGTTTTTGTCTGAAATTCAGGAAGTAAAATGTTAGAGCCAGGGTGTCACTTATAAACCCAAATCAGAAAAAGTTGGGACAGTACAGTAGTTTCCAGACTATTGAACGCACCTGAATATAAGTCGCACCCACCAAATTTAAAATGAAAAAAAGTTTGTACAGTACATAGCCGCAGGTGTCCACGTTGTAACAGGAGATATTTTGACAGCCAGATCGATCGCCTTTAACTTGAAAGCTGCATCATATGCATTTTGTCGTGTGTTTTCCATAATGAAGGCGTGTGCATGAAGCAAAAAAAGTAGTATCTTATAGTCCGAAAATTATGGTATATAAAATCTAAATTAAAACTGAATAGTGATTTGTAAATCATCTGTGTCCTGTATTACATTGAAAACAATACAGCAGCACATTATTTGATGTGATACCTCATCAATTTTATTCTTTGTTCAGTACATTCCAAGAAAAGTTGGGACGGCTGCATTTCAGGGCTAGTAATGGAGGTGAAACTATGAAAAAACAATGAAATGATGATTTTAATTGTACATTGACTGTTGCACATACAGCTCCCATGTACATTCCTATTATATTCTTATATATTTTTATTACATCTCTTCATTTGCTGCTTTAAAGTGCCTTAGATTTTGTGTTACTTATTTATCTATTTTATATTTCACTTGTGGCATTCATGTGGACCGCAAAATAAGAATTTCATTGTACAGGGAAACACGTTTCCTAACTGTGCATATGACAAACACTTTGACTTGACTTGATTTCGTTTGAAACAGGTGATGTCATCAGGTGACTGCAATCATGATTTGGTACAAAAGTGGCACCCAGGAAAGGTCCAGCCCTTTAGGAGCAAAGTAAGGATTACCATTTTGTCAATATATGTATGAGAAAATTATTGAAATGTTTAAAAACAATGGTCCTTAACAAAAGATATGAAGGGATTTGGATACGTCACCCTCTACGGTGCATAACATAATTAAAAGATTCAAGGAATCTGGAGGGATTTCAGTGCGTGAAGGCCAAGGGCACAAGCCTCAGCTGGATGACCGTGCTCTCTGATCCCTCAGACAGCACTGCATCAAGAATCGTCACTCTTCTATAAGCGATATAACCACATGGGCTCAGGATTACTTTGGCACACCTCTGTTGGCCACTGCAACATGTAGTCACATTTACATTGACTGCTCTGGGCTCGGAGGCATCTGGGATGGACCATCACACAGTGGAAACATGTACTGTGGTCAGACGAATCAGTATTTCAGGTCGTTTTTAGAAGGAATGGATGCCTTGTGCTCTGGACCTTAGACAAAAAGGACTATCCAGACTGTTGCCAGCAACAAGTCCAAAAGCCAGGGTCTGTCATGGTCTGGGGTTGTGTCAAAGGGAACTTACACTTCTGTGATGGCACCTTTAATGCTGAACAATACATAGAGATCTTGGAGCAACATATGCTGCCTTCAAGACGACATCTTTTCCAGGAGCACCCATGTATATTTCAACAAGACAATGCAAACCTCATACTGCACATTACCAAGGCCTGGCTGTGGAAGAAAAGGGTGTGAGTGCTGGACCGGCCTGCCTGCAGTCTCGACCTGTCTCCAGTAGAGAATGTGTGGCGCATTGGGAAATGCAAATTGCGTCGACGATGACCTGGGACTGTTGCACAACTTAAGACTTGTTTGCAGGAAGAATGGGACAAAATGACTCCTGATGCATTTAATCACTTTGTGTCCTCAGTCCCTAAACGTCTTCTAAGTGTTGTGAAAAGGAACGGCAACATCACACAGTGGTAAATGCTTTACTGTCCCAACTTTATTTGGAATATGTTGCAGGCATCAGAATTTGAGTGTTTATTTTGAAAAAAAGAATAAAATTGATGGAGGCATCATATCAAATAATGTGCTGCTGTATTGTTTTCAGTGTAATACAGGACAAAGATGATTTACACATCACTTTTCAGTGTTAATTTTGATTTTACATACTGTTCCAACTTCTTCTGATCTGGGGTTGTTAAGCAGTGCTTCTTGAGTCTGTACAGAGTTGTGACTTACCTTCAGAGTAACACAGATGACATTGAGAGCATCTTTAATCAGTGGATGTTGAGTCTCATGAGCCAACTCTTCACACAACCAAATACCCAGACTGCACAGAGCCACACACCTAATACAACAATTAAACAAGTAGTGAAGACATACACACAAAGAATTAGTACACACAAATACAAAGATCCACATGAATTCTGCATACTGGAATCACTGAACACACAACTGAAGTGAACAAATGAACTTCATATATGCTTTTATAAATGCATTAATCGACAGAAAGACACACACACACACACACACACACCATTTACCTAGCAGGAGCAGAGGGTTCATCCCTGGCAGAGGTCAGGATGGTTTTGATAATGTGCTCCTAAAAAACAAAGTATGCACACAAACACAGCTGATAAAGTACAAACCATTGATTATGTGTTGTGGTGATATCAGTCGAAGGTGTAACCACTCATTCGGGTCCCACACATACTGTTAACCTCTCCTCCTGGTGGCTATAATGAAGAGACTTACTAAGTGGTTTAACGCTGCTTTCCAGATAATGCAAAATGGATTTAAAGAATTATCAGGCACGTGTATAACATAAAATATGCTAAGGACTCAAGCTGCACTAATATGGACACACAGTCACACAACAGATGCATATACACACACCCCCAGACACACTCACTAGTCTCTCTGGTCAGTGTTTATGATCGCTTAGAGATTCAAAACAAATTTGTCTTGTAAGAAACCAGTGAGAAGGCCAGAGGCACTGCCATGCATGCCATTAACTGTTTACACAACAACAACATTACTCCCATAGCTCTGGACTGTTACAAGAATGGTTGATGAGGCATTAAGATTTTAGTTTGGTTCTCAGACCCCCTATGGACAAAAGATGTGTGTTGCAAGGTTTAAACTGACCTGGGTTACAAGCAAAGTAGATAAAGGTTTGAACATTTTAGTATATACCCATTTTAAAGTAACTGCCACCTTTTGATTCAGTAAGAGCTGAATTTCAGTTTAATCGCACAATTTAACTATTCTAATTATTACATTAAAGGCAGTGACTACTCTGGTTAAGGATGTAAACAGCTGTCTAAACTATGCAATGCTGTTTGGAAGAGTATCTTATTTTTTGACCTTCCTATTCCACTGTGTTTTCTGTCATAGGGCCGTCTCAAATGCCATTTTTTGGGCTCCAGAGCTCTGGTAGTAATAATCAACAAATATGTGAGTATTTGGGAGGTGAATGCTTTTGTATCTGTTAAAGTCACAGCATTCTGTCATTCAGACACTGGGCACTTTTACGTTATGTTCCTCAAGGGCTTCCTTCAGACATAACCATAACAATGGACAAGATGAGTGCACAGGAGCCATCTACAAAACAACACCACAAAGAGATACTACAAAAATATTTTCTCATAGGGTAGTGTCACCAAAATCACTTCATATATCACTCATCTCCTATTGGTTATACCACAATACTTAGTTTCATAAAATGTGTCTACAGAGCAAAGCTAGTGAGTATTTTGCACATTGTAGATGGTTCCTGTGCAACCATCTCACAGCTGGCTGCACATGCATTACTTCATCAAAACAGCTCCTTTTGATGAAAATTAGGATTTATTCTCATTGTCTGTCTGTCATTTAACAATGTTGGGCTTATGATTCATTGATCTGGGAACTTGGAATCTGGGAATATTTTGTCCTTGGCTTGTCTTATGCTACTTTATTTAGAAGAAAGTCCCCATTTACATTTAAAAAATCTGGTCTGTCTATCCGAGTAATGTCTATTTGAAGATGTGAGTACCAGCAGACTAAGCTGTCTCCATCGTGGTCTCGTTTTTCTTCATCAGACTCAGACTGCAATAAAATTTCCTGCTGTTTCAAATATTTGAATACTAGACCTGAAACCTGATGACCTACCCAAAGAAAAAAATATCCAAACAGTCGAATAATTGAGTCCAGCCCTACAAAGGATAATTATACAGTCCAAATACAAAAGCAGGATAAGCTGTATCAGATCAAAAAAATCAAGCTTCTTGAAGACTTGAGGTCTTGTTATAGACACATTATAGGTGATGCTGGACTTACTAAGTACCCCTCAATCCAAAACTACTACTGCTGCTTCCATTCACCTTTACATCAGGAAACTTGGTAAGCACCACGTCAGCTGTGGTGGGATGGAGAGCTGGAAGCTCCCCATAAAAGTTGGGAAAACACACCAGCGATCCAAGGAGGATCTGGGCCTCTACTCTTGGAGCCTGAAAAGGAGGATGGGAAGGCACAGGGACAAAGACAGAGAAGAGAAAACTATAGGAAATGCAAATTAAATGTAAAAATAAACAAACATGTATATGTGCGCTTGTACTGTGCAGGTGTGTCTGTACACAAAGCTGTGTGCATTTGTGTTTCTACGTTTCTTACATTGAGTGATGAGCAGGCAGTTACTCTAGATGCTGCAATGATAAAGTCCAGGATCAGCATGGTGGCCCCAGGGAGGCCAATACTGAAGAACCTGGGACTGCAGTGCTTTATGATGGTGTTCACAATGTCCTGTAGAAATCATGTTTTCAACACACTGGTATAGTTATAGCAGTCAATGTGTCAATGTAAATGTAAAACCAGACAGGTTCATATTTCTGTCACCTTCATAAGACTCTACCTGGTCTTGGTGCAGCAGTCCTTGGTGCATGATATTGTAGAAGTGTGTGAGAAAGTCTGTGTTTGGGGAAACATCTTGCCGTCTCTTCATTATCCTGCAGATCAGCTTGTAGGCATGGAGCTTTCCCTGCTTGTAACGATCTGAGAGCATGGTGGCCTTAAGAGCAAAAACATGTGAACAGTGACAATATGACCACATTGTAATGAGTATCAGAGGTCCCACAGTGATCACTCAATCACACCCACCTTAAAGAGCCAGGGAGTGAGGATTCTCAGGGGTGGGATCAGAACAGGGGGTGGAGGAGATGACTGGTTGTCCAGAGAAATACCTAAATTATCCCTTATCTGGAAAGAGAAGTGTAATTTTTTGCAACACAGTCTTTATAAAACGTGTTTTTGTCAGTCATGTATTAAGTGTTGGCATCAGTATTTACCTTGGCCAGGTTTTGCCACAGTTCACACAGGTAGTCGAAGACCTGCGCATGGATCTCTGGGTCTTTGATGCTATTGACATCCCCCAGGATACCCAGCATCCTTCTCCACATTACTGTGGCTACATCTGCATGCCAACCAGTTAGAGAACCACCTGCCATCACGCTGCAGTCCTCACTGTGGAACTCGCTGGTTTCTACAATCAGTCAGTGAATCAGTCAGACACTCCTTCCTCTTATTTATAGCTGAGACCTTTGAGTTGAAATAATGACATGTATGAGTATGTGTATAAGTATTACCCAGGTCATCAGGGGTCTGCAGGACAGAGTTGTGGAGTTTCTGGTCCAGCTGTAAGTGTGCATGTGAGTGGGAGTGTGTGTGATCAGTGTGCTCTGCTGTCAGTGTAGCAGGGGAGGGCGTCTGGGACCGAGAGCCCCCAAGAGAATGCATTGGAGATGCACTCTCAGAACCTAGACAAGAAGGCACACACGACGAGGAAAGAAAGGAAACTGAAGAACAAGATATCTACTGTTTGTTCTTACTCTTTATGGGCCATGTGTTATCAGCTAAACTGTAAATGTGCTTGTTAAATTGACTTTTATAGCAGATCTGTAATTTTGTTGTCATATCCCAGGAGGAAACTTGAAACCTAGCTACCAAATCTAGTTTCTTGTAGAAGGTCTTAGAGCTGTACATCACGTGAAAAAGGATGCTCAGGAAAAGAAGCATAAACAACAAGGTTTCAGCCAATATGCAGCCTACATAACAAATATGCCAAATAAAGGTACTGATTCATGTTTAGATGAACAGATCTTCAGAAATACAGCTAAAGAGATCTTCATGTTATGGTTGGTGCATACCAGTAACAGTGACAGTGTGGCTGAGGCTGCTGGTCTCAGAGTCAATATGAAGTGTTGTCAAACTGGCTACTTCATGTTCTTCACAAGCCACACCCCCGCCCAGACTGTCCTGGTCCAGCGAGCTGCCTCGACCTCCCCCCGATCCAACTCCTTCTCCACCAGCTTCTGAACTGAAAGTAAAATCTACAAGAAAAAGCACAGAGTAAGCATGCAGGTGAGTAATTCGTGGTCCCACTAAATTTACACAGGTGACTCTCTGAAGTCCTAGCCAGAGTACTGGCTTTATATTTTGAAAAAACATGAGAAATGAAAAAAAGTTAGCAAACAATTTACCAAAATTATGATAATCTCAACATTAAAAATGTATAAAGAATCCTTTCTTTATTCCTTACTATCAAACTTGCAGGTGGAGTACTGAAAGGCATTAAAGGACTCTGACTGGCTGTCTGAACTAATGACATCAGAACCGCTGGCACTTGCAGGTGATGTCCATTCAGAGGGAACTCCCGGATCATCAATAGGTCGAGGATCATCCAAAGGTCGGAATCCAGGACTTGGACCTGCCTCCAGCAATTCAGGCAGGTCCCTGGGAACCTCCAGACTTCCTGGGCTGCTGCCACGACGGCCCTTTATATCAGGGGGAAAGCAGAGCTTGTCGCGTCTAAGTTTTTTGACAATGATACTTCATCAGTATGTGTTATACTGACCGCTGTTCCTTTGGCCCTCAGTCTTTCCTGGATGAATTCATCCATGAGGTCAGAGAAGTTTGGGTTAGTGCTTCCTACATCACTGGAGACTGGACGAGCCTTCTGGACCACCTCCTCTTTATTGGCTAAGCACACATTAAGATAGAGAGCATTACATTTTGATAGTCAAAGATATGCAAACACACATGACAGAAAAATGAAGACTGATATGAAGATTCACAGATACACAGATGAGATGCTGACAAATATAGAGTGAAAGAAATGTAACACACAATGATAGACACATTAAGAGGTTCATACCCACTCAAACGGCTCAAAAGATAAGAATGTCGAATAATAACTAAGGAAGTTGTAGCCTACTTATGTAATCAAGCCCGTCTAATTTAAAGGTATGGTGATACTTTGTTTTTGATCATAAACCGATACTCTTATCCCCAACAGCACCCATGTAGCATTACCAGCAGGCTAAGATTATTTAAATAATCAGTGCTGATGCTCAAGTTAAAATTTAAATGTCGCAATCACCAGACATAAAAATGAAAGAAATTTAATTGATGGAACTGTAAGAGCAGCCCTGATGTGTGTGCACTGTAGGTTATCAAAGACTGATGTAAAAAAAATAAATAAATAAATAAAAGCCACAACACAGCAGGCATATCAAAACCCACCAGAGAAGCAATGCAGGGGTTAATTCACACCATGCACAGAGAGCAAGAGGGAGAATCACCTTGTTAGATCTAAACAAGCAGCAAACCAGAAGCCTACATTAGTACAGGTATGTTACAATGAGTTATGTCGCTGTTAAACTGGAGGCAACCACAGCAATTGGTGCGAGTTCAGAAACTGATAGTTAGCACCTATCAACCCCAAGTCAGACAATTGTAAATCTGCTGCTTTAATCTTCAATTCCTGAACTGGTGGCCAAGAGAGCCTGGCTGCTTGGGAGTGTAATACCAAGACTTGGATCAATAAAGCTTAGTGACTGAACACAGAATGAAATTCTTGATTTTGCTGCCACCTAGCTGTTGAAAATTCAAGCTTTACCACAGAACAAGACAGGATATGTTCAAGCAGCACTGCCCTGCAGGTGCAATGTTCTCACTTTGTTTGGCTTTGATCACATGTGAAACTTCAGTGCAACAACACATATCTGTCTTTACGTTTAACCTGCTCATTACACGAATCAGCATCTTGTCACAGTGATAAAAAGAGGGAACTGACGGTGATGAACAAACAATTTAACAAAGCACAAAATGTAAATTTGTTCAACTCTGCCAACTCTTCTCAAGCATTAATTTTCAACATTTCTGCATAATGATACAAACTAGTATGTCATTCAGATACCTCTTCTAGCTCAGATGTTATATGCAAATCTAGCTTTTTCTACTGGTAGGTGAACTGTAATGGTTATTTGATACGCCATCATCATTAACAGCAACCGGAGTGAGGCTTTATGAACAATATGTTGGTCTCAAGAATCTGATTCTGTTCATTTCTCAGTAACATCACTAAGTGAAAGCCATATCAGTGAAAGCCTAAAAAATAAATACTGGTATGCCTGCATATAGGTATAATGTAGTTCACACTGGAAATGCAGCATTAAAGAACAGACAGTGTGGTGCAAAACTGTGCTGTCACTAGTTATAGGCTTAGAAACTCCCCTTTCTTGTGTCATACTTAGTGAGCCCATCGGCTAATTTCTGTGTAAGCAATCTTATATAGTTACATTTATGATAAAGACTCCCCACTGCATTTCTATAAGTTTTGCTGCCAATCGCTCTGCTATTCTGTAAGAGAGATGGTCCAAGACAGGATTACAAACACAGCAGCGCACTATGTTACAGTTCTAACAGCAATGTGCAGCAGAGTAGATCAGAGAACTGACAGGTGATTCCTGCATCACTGGGTGGCTACAAAACTACAGAAAGGCACACCACAGCTCCAGCAGCTGCATCAATGGAAACAGCCAGGCTTCTCTCCCTATTCACACTCGTCATCCCCACACAGTTGTGCAAGTTCATTCTAAAGGGCTGAGCACAAACATGCAAATTCTTTGTGCTATGATCTATACTGTACTCCACAGTATCGCTGTTATGCGGCCAACTGTAGGAGACAAACCAAAGGAACACACAAACTACTGTTAAGTGCCATTTGGCACAAGTTGGCAAGCAACTCCTGAATAAAACAAGAAAAGAAAAGAATAAAATGTGGCTGCCCAACAATAACTCCACATCAAGACAGATTGGGTGATGAATCACTCTGCTTGTATCAAGCACCTGATGCTGAAAACTTCTTCCCAGTTCTGCAGTCTTCCACTATAAGAATTAGAATAAATAGAAAAAATGATTTGTACTTGTGATTCTAATGTGCAGGTTACCAGTCGTGATATTCTCTTGTGGTAGTGTTCATGGGAAAATAACCATTCCAGACTGTTGAATTAATTTGTGCACCTTTTCTTATCCATTCAAATTCTCTGTGTATACCACCATTCTACATAAGACCTTGTACTGCATTCTAGTGGTCTGATGATGAACTACAACAATATGTTCACTATGGTAAGTATGTGTGCTTTTGCTCTTCCAACAAAACTGATCTTGCTTTAGAAACTTAACTTTCATATCTACACATATAAACCTAAAGGTAACAAGGCTCTGCAAATGGAAAGTGCCTTTGAGGGATCTCTGTGGAATTTTACATATAGCGATATCTGTTATTTTATCTCTTAAATAAGGCAGTTATTTTTTCTGTGAACTGCTGTTTTCCTTCTGTGCTGCTGAAGAGGGGCTGGAGTCCAAAAAGGAGGTAAAGTAGGCACGAGGAAGCCGCATGCAATATCGAGAGAAGGGAGGAGGAGGTGGAGAAGGGATAAAGGAGAGAACATGTTAAAATCCCAAAACCCTTAGAATAAACAGAAGACAGGAAAGGGGCTTCTTAGGTAGAGGAACGATTGGCAAGGTATGGGAGGAGGGGGGTCCTTGACAGGAGGCAGGCTGGAGGAGGGGCTATGCTCAAGAGGAAACACATCAACAGGGAACTAAATTTCAGTCCAGTGGCAAGATGATGAGTGTCAGCCAAAAATATATCATTCCATCAAAACAAACCAGTTAAAAACAGCCAAAAAGGAGAAGAGAGTTGCTGAGGTTTATGTTTTGTGAGTATTTGTCTCTCCACAGTTGCTTTATCTGCTGTGTCCTTTGTGAGCGCTTCATTCGTTGCAATCCTCACCTGGCGTAGTCGTCTTTCGTCCAAAGTAGCCCAGGACATGGGAGTAGAGATCTCTTAGTGATGCGTCACCCGTGGCAGCCCGAGCTTGCCGCTGTGGCGACGAGCCTTGAGATGACCCTTGACCTCTGGGCCGGGGTTTGGAGGACAGAGCGTGAACCACGGTCTTATAGACACCACCAAGAAGAGCCCCCTGGTGGTGACGTGAGGCTGTGCTGCCTGGCTCCTGGGAGCGTGAGCGGGAGGCTCGAGATCGCAAGGCAGAACGTCCCAAGCGGCCACGTACTCCTGATGACACACCTGAGGAACACGAACTGCTTGATAATACCTCAGAGGATTGGCCAGACCCCACAAAGGATCCAGGAAGCTGTTTGTCCTTGTCCCCTGCAGTCCCGGCCCTGTTTTCCACACCTCCTGGACCACTATTATCCATGGAAGACCCAGTTGTTAATTTCTCATGTGCCCCTGCTCTATGGCTAATCCCAGCCACAGAGCCAAACTTACCTGCACCCCCCACTCCCAGCTTCCCCCCTGACCCTGCCCCAGCCCCTGGCCTTTCCCCGGCTGAGTGGCTATGTGTGTGGAAGTGACTGAGGCGACGCAGCCTGGCTTTCCAGTGAGCCTCTTTACTCTCAAGTGGGTTGTGGAACTGGACGGACTCAGTTGAGGGCCAGAAGCTGACATGAATACCCCCAGAATGGTGCCTCCTGATGCTACTACGGGACACCTTGGCCTTATCTGAAGTCTGGGGAGTTTGACTTGATTCCGTAGTAGACTGTACTATGTCAGTATCTGGTCTAATTAAACTTGACCTCTCATTTTCTGCTGCTTCTGTATCATCCTGTTTCTCATCTCTTATTTCCAACCTCATGTCACATTTCTCATCCCATCCTGCTGCCCTTCCTGTGTTTCCTCCTCCCTTTTTCTCCCCTGTGTTTCTTTCTAAGCTAGCACTTCCCCTAGCATTGGGTGATGGCCACTGACACTGCAACTCCAGGCACTCATAGATGCTCCGCTGCTTTGCCTCATTCTCCTCTGTTGAATCAACACTGCTATGTCTCACTGATTTACCTTCCTGTCTGTCCTCTTTAGAATTCTCTCTATCCTCTCTTACCACCTGTCTCACCTCTCTTAACTGTCTTATGTTTTCTATTTGTGTTGTAGCTACCCCTTTTTGCACCAGTGCAGGTAAAATAACGCTGTTCTCTAATGTGTGACCACAACTACCTCCCTCTCCAGCCTCCTTCCTTTCATCTCCTTTGTTTGTGAGGTAGTCCCTTATAGAAGAGAATAAGTCATCCTCCTCTGCCCCAGGTCCCATTTCACTCTCGTCTACATCGATTTCCTTCTCAGATGATAAGGTGAAGGCGCAATCCCAGTCACTTACCCAGTCTGAGCTAGAACCTTGGCTTCGAGAGCCAATGTGGAGCCAGGACTGGTCATAAGTATTACCATTATCCTGATGGTCTGAGGTCGAGGAAACAACACCACTTAAGAAGGTAAAAGGGGTGGTAGAAGGGGAGGTGAGGGGGTGTGAGAGTGGCTGAGCTACGTGGCTGTTGGCTGCAAGTAAGGAAGAAGTTGTGGAGTGGTGGTGGGGAATTGGGATCAAAGTGGGATCCCTCTGGGGGTCTTCACCTTTGACCCGCTCAGCGATGAAAGGCTCCATGATGTCAGAGGCACTGCTGCTCCTCGCAAGGGAGGATGGGGCTGGAGTATCCAGATCACAAGCCCCGCCCTGGAATACCTCTGAACAGGAGATGGGAGGGGGCTCATCACTCTGGGAGGAGTGACGCATCCGAGAGGTGCGGGATGTCAGAGTGATTGGCGGGTCCTCAAGGTCTGGTGATTAGGGGAAGATGTAGGAAGAGGTTAGTAGAAGAGTAAATGGGAATGAACACACCTAGACACGCATATGCAGACACACTTCTAAATGAACAGTCTTCAGAAGATAGCTAAATCAATCTGCAAATCCAAATCCAAAAACAAAGTATTCTCAAGTATCATTATTTTAATGCCAAAAATGATCTAATTTCTGGTCCTTAATCAGTCATGGCCATGACTGTGACAAAATGTAAACAGGATTAATATTACACATGCCAGAGTTGTATATCAATCTTTGAACTAAATCTGTTGTCTGTTATCAGGCCTTTGTATAAAACAACCTGGCCTCTAAAAGGCGAAACTAAAAACCTCCACAATGGGAATCATTTGAACAGTAATTGTAAGCACCTTCCTTTTTAGTTCTGAGTCTAAATCATAATTGGTCTGTGTAGATGCTGACACACCAGAACAACCAGCTAACACTGCCTACCAAAAACAAAACACACCTTCAATATTTCTACATTAATAATATTCAAAATTTGAGATATTCAGGCATGAGCTCAGTCTTTATACTGTAGCAACTGGCCTGTGGTTGCATAATGATTTACAACAATCATCTAAGGACTGGTGTTAAGCAGGAAGTGTGATCATTTCCTATTTACTTAACTTTAAGTCTGTTCAAAGACTTTTAACTCCATACAGAGTACTATATATATATATATATATATATATGCACACACACACACACACACACACACAAAGACATGGCCAAACACACACACACACACACAGCATATTTGTTTTATATTATATTGAATTTACAAATGAAAAATCATCATCAATTGCAGGCCAATGCCAGCTGCAGAACAAATGGCATTAAGTATCACATCAGTAAGACATAACAGAAACAAAGGGGGAAATGTTTGCATTTAGCAGAACAGAGTGCAGGTATATGAAGATATAGTGACAGAGGGACATGCAGGCAGATATGAGGTGCAGTTTAACAAGCAGAGAAACAAAGCACGCAGGAGAACAGGTTGGTTAAGTTTCATGCAATCATGTAAGCAACAAAAACAGAGACAGGAGCTGTTTCCATCTAACTGTAACAAATTTCCAATTTGCATCAAAACATTGGGTCAAAGATTCTTTGGCATTTGCATGGTGATATTTAATTCAAAAGCACCAACTAAGGACACAACAATGACTAACTAATACATGGAAGGCACAATGAATGTGACATGTTAGTAGGCTGTGAAAGATATGAGTTAAGAAGAGTACTCTACAATTACTAAATATACTTTACACTTTTAACAGTTGTACAGTAAGACCTACCACTTCATCCAACACGTGATGAACCAGTGTCATTATTCTTTACTTCAAAAAATATCTGATACAGTTCACGATTCTCTCTATGAAAATACTGACAGACAAACAAATCTGTCAGATGATGACTGGAAGTCAAACACAGAGAGACTGACCACGCTTTATTTATCACACCCTTATTTACAAGCACTTAATCAAGAAACTCTTAATTTTTATTTACATGGTATAATGCAACTTTTGCATTCCTCCTGTAACACATAAAGGCTGATGATGCAAAAAGCCAGTGCAACAATATGTTATGAACATCCACTTGTCACATGAAAAATTTCAAGCAATGGTGATCAGAGTATTGCACAGCTTCAGGAGAATGATGCATGTCTGATGTTCAAGCATTTCTCAAAATCACACTGATCCTGGTTACACACAGGGATGGGCTGTATGAGACCTGATGGACTGCATGCAAACTGCTGCATCAGGAATGATAATTAGGCAGCCAGAGGTGAGATGACTGGCATAAAGTTTCACTTCCTGACAGACATGCAGAAGGCTACAGTTTCCAGGCAGACAGGTAGTGCAAAGAGAGTGTACCTGCCAGCTGGTCGGCAAGGGGGGGTAGTAAAGGGTGGTGGTGGTGAAGAAGGACAGGAAGAGGTGGAGCCAGAGCAGGAGCACTCTTAGCACTGCGGATAAAGGCTGAGGACAGCAGAGAGTCCCCCGTAGAGCAGCTACGCAAGGCTGAGGAAGTGGGAAGAGAAGAAAGGAATGGGGGAAGAAAGTGAGACAGAAGAAAGTGAAGAGGAAGAAAAACAACCCAGCACTGATGTGAGGTGAAGGGAAGAAAGAGTGGTCATGGAAAAGTGAAAAGAATGAAAACAGTGAACTTACAAACTAAGATCAGGAAAAAAGTTAAAATAGAACGGGAGACAAAGATGTTAGAAAATTTTGAAAAAGTAAATTGAAAAAATATTGGCAGGAAAAGAATGAAAGAGAAATGGGTGAAAACAGAAAATTATGCAGCAGAGAAAACAGCATACAAAGACAGTCTGGGGGAAAAAGACAAGAAGTTTATGAAAAGAAACAGGTGACAGGACAGTGTAGAAAAGAGGATGTCTCAAGGGTGGATACAGGGAAGGTGACGCAGGAATGAGACAGGGTTAGCTCTAAGGACTGACAGAGTAGAAGTGAGGGGCTGGTGGCAGCTTGGCACTCTGCACAGCTCAGGTCTCTGAAGGTCACGATACACAGCAACAATACATTTTTAATTCTAGCCAGAAACACTGCTAACTTGAATTTACAACACAAGGTTGTTCTGCAAGTTTGACTATGACTCTTTAAATACATTCACAGCTGAATATGCAGCTGGCTAAATAAAACCAAAACAGCTGAGATCCTGTAAGAATGTTGGTTAGCATTAGTAGACTCATTCATTTCTCACAGCAAAGAGAGAAAAATGCAGTGTACAGACATGCACACTATACTTAGCAATGGTCACTATGATTAAGGATTAGTAAATATATTCTCCAGACATTTTAAGACTTCTTAGGGCTGCGGACACCCTGCAACTGAGTTCTTTTATTTAGCTGTTCCTAACAATCCCCTACAGTGTCCACAGGCATTTACCAAGTGTCATCACTGAGAAGTGAAGGAGAATCTCATTTAAATCTGTAACTTAATGGTAACAAACAAAGCATTAGTTGTTTGTTTTTTTTATACAATGACTTCTGAATAATATTACTATTTTAATGTCAGTTTCAGCTTTATCATAAGTCACCTTGCATTAAGCTATAGCAGTTATTTTAGCACACTGTGGTGTTGAGACCATTTCGCTCACACTGGTGGCCGCAGCTTCCTGTCAGCCAAGAGGAAAAGAGCAGAGACATCAACTGAAATCAAAGTGACCTCAGATGAAAATAGGAACCACACACAGTGCACTGAGAAAAGACAGGACTCTAGTTTTCCCCTGTTGAACAACACTCATGTAAATGCCAGCCGGTTTCATTAGGACACACAGAGCACTGTCTGGGAATCTGAGCTTCTGGTCCAATAAATAAGGTCCTCCCTCCCTCCCTCACTCACCCCCACACATGGAAGGCAGACACCTAAACAGAGGAATACTGACCTACAGTCTTCTGTCGGACAATACTCCTGGCTTTCTCGATGCCTGGGGAGCCGGCAGTAGTGGCACTTCGCTGCCTCATGGCTGTAGCCTGCCCTGGTTGGTCTCTGCTCCAGCCTCTAGAGAAGGAACGATCCACTACTTGCCGCTGGCCATCGGAACTAATACCTAGAGTAGAAATGGGGGGAACTTGAGAAGGAATGCTATCAGTGCACTTTCACTTTCTTTCTATGCAGCTATGCGTTAACAATATGTGTTGAGAAAAGGTCAAGACCACGTGTGATGAACATTTTTCTTATTTGTCATATTTTGAAATGTGGTCCATTTTCCAGATATCCCAGTTCTTTTCATAGTAGCTATATTTCATGCTGTGCACTTTCCTAATGTGCATATTTTTAAACAGTCAAACCAACATCTACACTGCATGCACAATTATAAAGAAAGTTGCATTTCTGAGAATTTTATTACTGAACAACTACAGTGCTCTCGGTCAGTCCAAAATGTTAATAAACCTGAAACCTGAATATTTAAGAAAGTAAAAGTGAGGTTTTGGCTTTCTTAGGAGAATGTCTATGTGTGTACAATTATTGGGCAACTATTAGTGTGCAGTTATAAGCCTTCCATTCATGGAGTCTGATCTATTGACAACCAACTTTTTGTGCAGCAGCAAGCACAGCTTTCCAGACACTGTTCAGAGAAGTGTACTGTTTTCCTTCAACATAAACCTCCTGTTTAAGAAGAGCCCACAAGTTCTCAATAGAGTTTAGGTCAGGTGGGGAAGGGAGCCATGTTATTATTCTTTCATGTTTAAGGCCTTTACTGGCTAGCCATGCAGTGGAGTACTTCAATGCATGCGATGGAGCATTGTCCTGCATAAAAATCATGGTCTTCTTGAAAGGTGCAGACTTTTTCCTGTACCACTGCTTAAACAAAGTGTCTGCTAAAAACTGGCAGTAGGTTTGGGAGTTGATTTTGAGTCCATCTTCAACCTGAAAAGGTCCAACTAGCTCATCTTTAATAATACCAGCCCATACCAGAACCCTGCCTCCACCTCGCTGGCGTCTGAGTCGAAGTGCAGCTCTGTGCCCGTTACTGAACCAACCATAGGCCCATTCATCTGGTCCGTCAAGAGTCACTCTCATGTCATCAGTCCATAAAACCTTTGAAAAATCTGTCTTCAGATATTTCTTGGCCCAGTCTTGATGTTTTATGTGTCTGTTTTGTGTTCATTGGTGGTTGGGTTTCAGCCTTCCTTACCTTGGACATGTCTCTGAGCACTGAGCACCTTGTAGTTCTGGGCACTCCAGGTAGGTTGCAGTTCTGGAATATGACAGCACTGGAGTATATTGGGTTCCTGGTAGCTTCGTGTTTGATTCTTCTCAAATCTTTGGCAGTTAATTTACGGCTTTTTTTCTCATCACGTTTCTTGTGACCCTGTTGACTATTTGCCACAAAGTGTTTGATGGTTCTGTGATCACACCCCAATATCTTAGCAATTTCAAGAGTGCTGCATCCCTCTGAAAGACCTTTTACAATTTTTGACTTTTCACAGTCAAGTCTCTTTTTTGGCCCATTTTGCCTGAGGAAAAGAAACCACCTAATAATTATGCGGACATTGATATAGGGTGTTAATCTCTTTAAGTCACACCCTCCCTCATTACACAAATACACATCACCTGATATGCTTAAATCCAATAAGCATTCAATTTATACAGCTTGGAGTTGGAAAATATGCATAAAAATGATGATATGGTCAAAATACTCACTTGCCTAATAATTGTGCACACTGTATTTTTCTAGAACAGAGAAGTGGTGTGCGAAGTTGCTGACAGTTTGGAGTGTCTGCACTGTACGTTTCCATTTTGGTACATCAGATATTAAACTAAGGATTATGATATTGTGTAAACAGATTGCATTTGTCTGAAAGAAGTGCCATGTTTGTGTTTTAAAGGTCTGTGAGGGTCTCTGCCTGACCAACCTTTTCCTTTGTGTTTCTTCAGTTTTTGTTCACTGAGTTTGTCCAGAGGTAGCTCATTCAAATCAACACTGTACAGATTCCTCGCCAGCACCTAAACCACAAAGACATAAACACTGTGTTAACTCTTTTATGTTATTGTACTGGTTACAATTTGGACCAGGAAGATGAAATATGTAGATAAAGAATGGAAATATACATTTATGAGGTCTCCAAATGTAACCCAGTCACATGAGCACCAGGGCATGTGAGAAATAATATCAAAGTGAATAAGCACAAAAACATAAACTCATTCCTTCATTAGAGTTCTCGTCTTCTCTCATGAACCTTCTGACAATGTTGTAGTCAGTAACAGAACAGAACAACTCAGGTGACCACAAAAACAATTTTAATGTCTAAGTCAGCACTTTCTCCTAAGGATGCCTCCCATTAAAATGTTTCAAATCCATAAACAAATCAAATTTTCTGTTATCAAACTTATGGTCAAAATACTCAAATTTTATTTGTATAGTGCCAAATCACAACAAAAGTCATCTCAGGACACTTTACAAAGTAAGGTCTATGTGCTGAAATCAGAAATGAAATCATTACAAATTCATATCAGTACATACTGCCTGATATAGTGAATGGGGGTATGAAAAACGTGATAACCTTCAGTACCTTGGTGAGGGTCTCCATGGTGAGAGACCACTCTGTGACCAGTTCTTCCCAGTAAGTGAGAGAGGAGAGGACGGAGAGGAGGTCGTCCCACAGTTCTCTGCTGATGTACACATTTAGGTTCCCCTTAATCCAGGCTACTATCAGTGTCTGTGCAGTGACATTGACATGATGGAAAGTCATATTAGAAAAGACTGTGGTCCATCTCTCTGCTCATGATCAGAAACACGATTATGTTTTTATTAGCATTCCAAATAGAGATGAAGGCAACTGCAGAACCCAAGACCAAAATCATATTCAAATCAACTGTTCTTTTATTAGATGAGTACAGCACTGCCACATGCGCCTCATATATACACCATGGACCTGTACACTTCAAGGGTCAAGAGGAGAGAGAAGATTTCTGCAGACCCCTCACACCCTTAGACACAATCTGAACTCCCCTCTGGACGCCGCTACAGGTCACTGTACGCCAAAACAACCAAACATAAGGACAGTTTCTTCCCCTGGGCCATCATGACTCATGACTGTATAACAGAAGGACAACCCTCAGTGCAATACCTTATAAATACTTATAAATACTTACGAATAGTATAGATTTATATGTACTTTATTTTTATTTTCTTAATGCACGTTCCTTTTTCTTGTTTGCATATGCTTTTCCATTTTTTGACTTATCTTGTTTACTTGTTACCTTATGATAGAATATTGTACATGCCTGTTTATTCATTCTTTTTTAACCGCTGAGAAAACTGTGACAATTTAGCATGTTTGGTACATATAAAAACTATTTAGCCTGTGTAATAAGGTCATAATACCTGAAACATAGGTCCAGCCAGTCTGCCTGACAGTGTGTTGTTCTTCTTGCCCTGAGGCATGATGGATGGAGGTCTTTTCATCACCGACTCAGTCACCCTCAGGAGAACCAATAAGATCTGCTCCCTGCAAACAAACATGGGCGCACAAGTTAAAGCTAAAATACTGCTCTTCTTCACTGACCACTAGAAGCAAGCAGACGTGATGAAACCTTTGAGCTTCATTTAAATAATGACAAGACTCTTCAGTAATCACTCAATTTAGTGTGATTTTACTTGTGTTTGTGCAGCTTCTTGTTTACCATGTCTTCTGGTCCATGGTCTCATGCATGACAAGGCTGCGGTAGATGTTCAGGACTCGCTTGCACATGTCGACATGCTCCTCTAAAAGGATCTTGATGTCATTGGCTGGTTCCAACAAGAAAACGTTAGAAGAGTGGGTAATAAATACCTGAAAAGGAAACAGGCTTTTAGGAAATTAAGCTGATTAAAAACCACATCAAGGAGACGTCCACAAGGTAAAGAAATAACAGCAACAGTTGGCACAACTATGAGACTTTTGTGCACATAATAGATTTAACAGATTTAACTGAAATATGAGCCACATGTGTACAAGAATAACAACACAATTTGTGTGACAGTCAAATTGCTCTATTTCCTCAAAAACTGCTCAGTTACTATATGCCCCTTTCAGTTTGGCATGATCAGAAGCTTCTCCATAAATGTCCAACAAATTTGAATCGTCCTTATCTCTCCACTACCCCACGACCCTGTTGCTGCTCTAATCAATGTTTACTTTTACTGGTCTGCTAAAGAGTCGGTGACACTAATGACACTGTAAGAATGAAGCTATTGAATATTTTTTCACAATAAAAATTCCCCAAAAGGTTTTAGTATAACCAACAGAAGGCCCCTGATGCCTGAACTGAATTTGAATGTACTACACTATATAAGAGAGAAGTTTTTAAATATTTTTGCAGTAGTACAACCAATGTACATCTTCTCTTTATCTGCTGTTATATACCTGTAGTGTAGTCTGAGAGAAAAAAAAAAATTTATTTATATATATATTTATAACAGAAATACTGGGTTACAAACTGAAGGCATGAAGTCTAAAAGAAGTGGTCATGTGGAGTCAAATCTGTTCACATGGCCTACCATTTATTTGAATATTTCAATGGAACACATTACAGGTAATTTGGGTAGTTCCTCACCTCATCTTCTTTATCTCCAAGCTGAGAGCCTGAATCCAGACTGCTGGACATGGCTACAGGATAAGGGCCCTCCTCTGGCTCCTTCATAAACACTGGCTTGTCCTCTATGGAGATCCACTCCTGATAAACACGGACTACTTTTCGCATTGCTGCTGCCTCACACATGGGAAGGAGAAAGGCCTGTTTTGGTAGAGACAGACAAGAGATCATATTTAACAATACATAATGATTATTATTTGAGGTTAAGGACCAAGTGATGTATACATGGATGTAGTGTATGAAAAACAGAAATTACAGTTGGACAAAGGATAATGTATATCCTAGGTCCACTCCAAATGCAGACATGACATTGCATTAGGTATTTCATACTGTCAGCTACTATACATAAATGTCCCCACGCCCTGATAAGTTATTAATTAAGTGTTAAGTTATTAAGTGATAAGTTATTTCTCCTTTACCTGTCGAAAGATCTCTGTGATGAAGTTGACATTGGTTCTGGAGCAGGTCAGTACTCTTCTCACCACCTCCATGTCTGTCAGCTGTTCTTCATCCATGGAACAGAGTGAGGAAGAGCTGGGTTCCCTCTCCGTCAGTGTAGACGTGTTAGAATGGCTCTGCTCAGGCTCACTCCCAGCACCTGGACCCCCTGACAGCCCCATAATGCTTCCTTCTGGTCCACACGAGCTCCCGCTCCCTTCCAAGTGGCCATCAGACCGCATCCCGCCTCCGCCGCTGTCATCTGAGCTGCCTGCAGATCGAGCTGCCAGTCCGGCTGCTGCTCGCTGGAGATCAACAGGTGGGTTGTACAGTGAAATGAGAAAGTCCACAGATCAGCCATAACATTATGACCACTGGCAGGGGGAGGGGAAAACAA